TGTGTGTGTGTGGCCAGCTCAGCCCACCAGGGGGCAGGGCTGGCTGGCATGTGGTGCTGGGGGATTGAACCGCGGTCCCTGTGCTTTGTTTAACTTAGCTTGTTCTAAGTAGGTGCTTTAGACCACTGAGCCATCTCACCAGCCCCTGCAAGAATATTGTGCTTCCTTATTTTCTCACTTCAACAGTCTATACTCTGTCTTTACATGTTATTTCTCCTACAGTTAGGGCTCCTTCCCTCTTTCTGTTATGATCCAGAGGCTGCCCAGCCTGCCATTATTCCAGATTTTATTCTACTGCACTCTGTGCCTCTGCTCTCTCATTTTCCTCTACTTATTCAGCAAAGCTTATAATTTTGCTCCTCTGGTTTCATGGTAGCCATTACACAGAGGTGCAAATGTTTGACGCCTCCATGTGGGCTACTTGTGCAGTCATGCTCAAGCATTCTGTATCGACACACACTCTACTGCCTTTCTCCTTCAGATTACTAAGTACACTGTATTTTCATGCAATGTACTTCAGCTTTTAAAATGCATATGCTTGGAGGTTATGCCATGAATTTAATTTCAGAAAATGCAATGTTTATTTTTTTAAAAAAGGAGGCTTTTAGACCTGAAGAGAATTTTAAAAAAAGTCTAAGTCATTCTCTGCTTTCCACCTTGAAACACTTCCTCCTGTCTGGCATAAAGTTCACTCTGCTCCTCACACTTACTTAAGCTTCTTTGTGACTCAGCTTTGTATCTGCTACTGGGTGAAGCTGTGTCCTCTGACAGACTTTTAAGATGTCTCTGTGAAACACGGCTTTATTTGTTTCAAGTAATGAGTTTTCAGTTAATCTCATATGGCCTTGAATTACCACAGTTAATTTGTGTGCGTGTGTGTGTGTGTGTGTGTATGTGTGTGTGTGTGTCTCAGCAATAGCTATGAGCTTCTAGAAGGCAAGATTATTTGCATTATAATTTTATACCCCTATCACTATACACTGCACAAAGTTAAGCTAAATAAACTCTGGCTTGCTAGGAAAACCAACTTCCAGAATGTATATGGTAGTACAGCTCTTGGCCTTTCCCCACTACCCCACACCTAAATTCTTTGCCCATCTGACTCTTGCTGACTATTTACTCCTGAAAAAAGGGCTGTGATCTCTGTAATCACGGCGTCTACGCTGAGTAGGTGAATAGTTGACAGAAAGCATCCAGCAAATGTTTCTGAATGATTAGGTGAATGCATTAAACTCATGAGGTAAATTCTGATGTCAGTGTAAATTGTAAAGAAGCAACATTAGAAACAGATCGAGTTAAACTTACTGCAACATAGGAAATCACAGAACAGAAGTTCCCAGAATTTTCCCTCTAGAGTCACACTATCATTTTGTTAAGATGGTATGTCTAATTTTTCATCCACTATTCTGTAGAAATTTTCTCTGAAAGTGGATTCTTTTAACATTTACTTTTTTATTTTTATTTGTGTAGTTGATATAGGGTCTCAGGAGGCAGCTTCAACTCCTAGTGATCTTCTATTTTCAGCCTACCCACTGCTGGGATTACAGGTGTGCATCACCATGCCTGGACTTGGTCACCTGCTCAACATACCCCAGGGACAGCACCAGCATAGCATGTGGCACCAGGGATCAAACCCTGGTCCCTGTGCTCGCCAAAGCAAGCTCTTAGTCTGCTGACCTATCTCACTGGCCCCATTTACTGTTTTTAAAAAGCAACAATAAGATAATTATATCATAGTATAAATAAAATATTTACATAAAAAACTATCTCCCAAAATAAAAATTTAGTATCAGTGTCTTCAATGCTATATATTTGTAAATCTCCTTGCATTCTGGCCAAAAGCTTCTAGTTCCTCAGATCTTTCCGTTCTTGCATCCTACTAGTGTAGTGCGTATAACAGAGCCTCTGGAAAACTCCCCCCTGCAGTTAGGCAAGAGGGAAAGTGAAAGAGGCAAATGACATCTTAGAATTTCTATAATTTTTTTTTTTTTTTTTTGGAACTGGGGATTGAACTCAGGGTCTTTCACTTGCCAGGCAAGCACCTATTCTACTGAACCATTTCCCTAGCCCCTAAAAGTAATTTTGACCTCAGGACTCCCAAAAGGGTCTCAAGGACCCCATGCACTCCACATTGCCTCACAGTACTAGATGGGGAAATGGTATAGATGAACCTCTGCTTCAAGAGCAAGTCATTCCATACACGCTGGGAGCTCTGGATTGCTTTTGTCACTCCAAGTTGAGCCTAGAGTGCTGGAGCAATCTAAATGTGGACTGCTATGCCTTGGGCTCCACAATCACAATGGCACAGCAGACAACCACAGACTTGCTTTGTTGAGCTGAACTTACAATACCAAAATAAGATTCTTGTTTTTCCTTTGAAAATAAATTAATTACCTGGTTAACCATAAAAAATAAGTACCATCTGTAATGGTTAATTTTGTATTTCAACCTAATTCAGATTGATCAGATATCACTCTAGATATGTCTGCAGGGTTGCAGGACAAAACTAACATTTCATCAATCAGTAGACCAAGTAAAGCAGACCACCCATGGGGGTGGGCCTCATTGTACAGTTGAAGGCCTGAACCAAACTAAAAGGTTTTGGTTTCTGCCACCTGAGAGCAGAAAAAGCACATCCTATCTGTCTCCTTGCAGCTGGGATGTTATGCTTCCTGCCTTCAGCCTCCAATTAAAGCATCAGTGATCTTGGGTCTTGAGCTTGCCAACTCAAGGGCTTGGAATACACTGCAGGTTCTCCTGGGTTTCTGGCCAGCTGTAGATCTTGAGATTGTCTGTCTTCATCAGTATGTGAACCATTTCTTTAAGATAAATCTGGCTTCAGCTAGGCACAGGGTTACACATACCTGTAACTAAGGCATCATCCTTAGAAAAAGGCAAATCTCAGAGGCCAAGATAGCCGGGGAAACTCAGGTAGTACCCCAAAGCAGATTTTCCAAGTGAGTTATCTAGCATGTGTCAGACCATCTCTAGTATATAATAGACTTTTGAAGCCAAGAAAGTCTGGGCCCATAATGGTGATGAGTCCATACCTGTCATATGCTGTGCATATCTCTAACATGATCTGTATGTTCACCTTTTACCACCTAACATCTGTGTTCATCCAGAACTGTGTGATCATAACTTCACTTTAGATGTAGGTCTTTCTAAAGAACAATATTGGCGTGGTTTCAAGTCATCTGACTGCAGATAAAAGTCTACTATTCATCACTAGTAAAATAACTTTTTAAACATTTTTGGTACAATTGTCTCAAGAAGCTTATTTTGGACAGGTCAAGAAAGGTGTCTAATAGTCGTAATCCTTTTCTAGAAGCTTCCAAGAGCATGTCAGTCTCCCTCACCCTTTAGGTTTCCCAGTCCTGCCTTACGCAGTCTCACTCTTCCTCCCTGGCCATGGCAGACAAGGCTAGGGAGAGATACTTTTCCTGGCCAACACTGGCCAGGAAATGCCCAGCCCAGGACTGGCATCCTCTATGAAATTCTGACTAGTTGAAGCAGT